CTCGGCTCATTAAATCAAATTCAACCATGGATACCTTTTAGCTAACTCATTTTTGACTTAGCAATATGCTAATCGTAAAGTAACGTACAAAGATGGCGCTGTTTTTCCTTGGCGCAGTGAGTCTAAAACCCAGTTTCTTGTGCAGAAAAATGAGAAGGAAAAATGTTATTTCTGTATATTAGCCGGCAATCCCTGGGGAAAAGATTTTAGGCTAATACGACAAACGAATAAAATTAATACGATAATGAAAGTATCATTGGAGCCACATTCAGTCCCAGCAGAATCCATCAACCATTAAGTGAGACCCAGGAGAATTGTGGGAGTTTATCCTCATTGTCCTGCATTTAAAATTAGAAGTCCTTTTGAAAATGAATCATTGTGAGTGTCCGGCGCCCACACACACAATCTGCCACTGATGACCACATACATTCATTGGGGTCTCTCCGGGTCCCCACCTCTCACCCTTTTACAAATTCTCACCGTCGCCGTCGAGGAAGACACAATAGTTAACTCCAACGACGCCTCCTCCGAGAACTCCCTGAATGCTGTCGCACCGTGGTGGGCGACGAGTTTGTGTGAATGTGTGTGTTACATCTGAGTATTGTCTGTGAGGCATATGGACATAAGTCACGGGCAAATAGGGGTCTAGTCATTCTGAGAATCTTTCTGCTGCTCTTTCTGCCTAATGACCTTGTTATGGTCCACTCAGGCCTAAAATGCGCTCACATACTGATGGACAGACTGGGCCTATACAGATTTTTTAATTCACATATCCAATTTTGCAACTTATTTTTCTGTTTGTTATGAAAACTGCAGCTGCAGTAACTGAGCGAAGAAGACAACAATTCTACGTCTCCTCTACCTATTTACCACAACAGGCAAAGAATTGTCCTGTTTACATGTCACCTCAACGGCCGTCTGCTTCACTCCTCGTCTTGCTGACTTTGCACATGCTATGGCGAGTGTCAAATAGTTCGCCTATTGTTTTCCCCATTTTTTCCCCCCCAAATTCCTTTCCGAACAATCACTCCGCGACAACGCATTTACT